GAGACAGAAAGCGAGAAATCACCCCCCAGGGGGGATGGTCACGCCGCAATCCCTTCTCCTCCATTCTCCTCTCAGGATCTTGGGCATGCACGTACACGCGCCCGGCGTGAGTTTTAAGCCACCAGGTCCGGGACGCGAACCGCGGTCGACTACGTGGGAGTCCAGTGACATAGCCATTACGCTAACTGCTGGTTCCCGAAAGTATCAGGTTTTGCCTACCCACCACGAGAACTGAGCTGGATGCAGGGACTGCTCTGAACGTCCCACTGCCAGGTCCAACCTGCCACCTCCAATGGTGGAGATGCCATCCCAGCCCATCCCCACCCCTAACTCCAGAGGATCCACCACCCAGAGGCTCACCGGAACAGGCTGGGGGTCGAAATACTTCGACTTGGGTTCCTTGGGCCCCTCGGCAAGGTCTGGCTTCTCCTGTAACTCCACAGACTGGATGTGGCCACAGGGGGACAGGAGGCGTGACAGGCTCTCCTGCCATGGTGCAAGGGGGGCAGAGTGTGAAAGTCTGCAGGGCCCTCCCCAAGGCCTCCTTCCACCCTGGGCGGCCCTGCACCTGCCCAGCCTGGAGAGCTGGGGTGCCGTGCCCTCTGACCTGTTCCGTGACACGACAGCTGAGGGCACGTGGACGCTCCCCGAGTATGACGATTCACTAGGTCTCACTAGCTGAATCAAACAGACCGGTCTGCACTGTTAAGTCAGGACACAGGGGACCTCTGGGGGGTGCACGGATGCTTTCTGATCTGTGTGCTCATGGTGCTAATGACAGTGTGTCATCTGATATGCAGTGAGCAGTACACCCATTCCAGGCCCTTCTCTGTACACACACTACACTGCGGTAAGGGTTAAAGGCATACCGTCTCTCCTTAACACTTGTCTTTAACTTTAGAGAAATCTTTGAGAAATGAATATTGCTTTTTAAAAAATCATCTAGGACCAGCCAGGTGGTGAGGTGGTTAAGGTGGCTAGATGCCACATGGCTGACTGTGCGGTTCCAATCCTGGGAAAAGACTGAAAAAAAAGGCCAGGTGTAAGTGCATGGCCCAAAATCCCAAGAGAAGAATGAAAGAAGGGATGGTAGCATGGCCTTCTCCCCTAGAGGGTGCTTTCTCACTACTCCCCACCCCCGGTAAGAGCATGCACACATAGCAAAAAAACGAACTAAAATTCAACAATTCCCTGTGTTGCTCTTATAAAAATTTAGGTAATAACTAATTTAATAGCTTCTGTGGTTAAAAAAAAAAAAAAAAAAAAAAGACAGATGTACATGGATGACAGAATTAGAGGCCATTTTTATTTTCTTATGCTTTTTCTTTTCAGGACTATCAACATGTATCACTTTATCTGGCTTTGTTGTTTTTGTTTTTTTAAAAAAATAAAATAGGGACCAGCAGTTGGCATAATGGCTATGTTGCTGGACTCCCATGTAGTTGACCACAGTTTGAGTCCCAGACCCAGTGGCTTAAACTCACACCACGTGCAAGATCCTGAGAGGAGCATGGAGAAGGGATTGCGGAGTGGCCATCCCCCCTGGGGG